GGCGCAGGCTGCGCGCGGCCCGCCTGCCGGCCCGCCCGCCTTGTGTCCGGCTTCACAGCCCGACCCGGTCCGCGCAGCCACCCCGGGTCACTCTGGCCACGGTCAGTCTTCGGCCCTGGGCCCCGCGCCAGGGTTAGCCGGGAACAGGAAGTACTAGGAAAGAGGGCGGGACTGCGACCTAGCTTGAGGGGGAAAGGGAGGGGCTTAAGGTTAAGGAAGGGCGGGGTCAGGAAGTCAGGGGGCGTGACCAAGAAGGGAGGCCGGGTCTCAGCCAATGAGAAGGGTAAATGGCCCCTGGCTCCTCCCCCTGAGCCTCTCGGCTTCTAACTCTGTTCTAGAGCTCTTCCCCGCCTTCTTCGCTGCTGGTTCCGCCCCTTTCCGAATAAGCCTCAGGCGCGAGGTTACCTATTTCTCTCAAATCTGTCCTCTCTATGCAGACCAGTCGGCCACGCTCCGGTCCCCACCGGGGAAGTCACACTCTGCCGGGGACTCAACTCTGGCCGGCCTGAGCCCCACTCAAGCGAGTTCCGCCCCTTCTCCAGTCGGTCTTGAAGGCAGGGCGCCCTCCTGGAGGAAGCCCACGCGCTTGCTCCCTTTCATATCCTGCTAGCCCTTCTCAGCTCCAGGCCCTCCCTCCTGCTACTTCTCCCACCCACTCTGATCCCTCTCCGGCCTCTCCCAGCAGAAGAGCCTTCTAGGGGGAGTCCCACCACTGAACACCCCCTTTCCCAGTCCCTCACCCCAACCCTGGACTTCCCCTGGACGGCCCTTGCCCCTCTCTGTAAGCCCCGCCCCTTCTCCGAGGGACAGTCCCTGTTCAGTCTCCACGGTCCCACTCGTTCTAGCCCCTCCCCCTGACAGCCCCTGGGCTTGTGACCGAGTCAGCACCGCCTCTCCCAGTCGCAACTAGCCGAGAATGGCTGAGGGGCTCCCTACCGTTTGCAGCCTGCCAGGGGGAGGGGGAAAAGAAGGAAGGGGGCGGGGTTGAGGGGGCGGGTCTGGACGTGAGGAGTGAAAGCGAAAGCCCAGGCAGCGAGCCGGGAGACCGGAGATCTACCTGCTGGAGCAGCATGGCCAAGCCTTGTGGGGTGCGCCTGAGCGAGGAAGCCCGCAAACAGGTAACGGGGGACCGAGAGACCAGGAAGGTGCCGGGAGCCCTCCTGGATGGAGGCCGGGCGCTCCAGGGGACCAAGGCCGTGCCAGAGAACTCCCTCAACCTCCCTTTAGTGCTTTCACTTCTGCCCTGGGAGTCCCAGATTCCTGCCCTCTGGCCAGGCTCTGCACTGAACATGGGCTTCAGGGAGATCTGGCTTGTGGTGGCAAAGGCCTGAGCCAAGTTGGAGGGCACCCCGTTGGGAGTGGGATCTTACTCTTAACAACTGAGCCCCTTAACCAACGTCCGGGTACTGCTCTCTGTGCAGGTGGATGTCTTCAGGCAAAATCTTTTCCAGGAGGTAAGTCTTCTGAGTTCAAGCGATTTGACTCAGAATCTTTGACTAATACTTGAAGGTCACAACCTCCCAGAGTGATCTCCAAACCCACCCTAGACCTGGGCCCTACTTCCCTTATCAGACCTTCACCCAAGATCAGCTCCTAATTATTAATCTCTACCTTTAATTTGACCCTTCTTAATACTCCCCACTTCTGCCACTTCGTCTCCCCTTTTTTGGTGTGGAGGGACAAGCTGTGCCCCAAAGCAGGAATACCACAGTCCTAACCTTGGTTCTGCCACTTCCCAGCTTGGGCAAGGCCCTTCACTTTTCAGGGCTTCAGTTTCCTCATGGGTAAGTATTGGATCCAATGAAGGGCCCTTCCAGTCCCAATTCTCAGACATCTCATTGAGCGTCTTCTGTGATTCCCCACCCTTGCAATGTAACCCACAGGCTGAGGAATTCCTCTACAGATTCTTGCCACAGAAAATCATGTACCTGAATCAGCTCTTGCAAGTAAGTAGTGTGAGCCCCTCGTGCCCCATCCCATGGCCTCTCTCCTCTGTACTCACCCTCTCTAGCTAACAGCTGGGCTCAGTATGCAGAGAACAGTTGTGAGTGGTGGACTGGGAATGTTAGGGTGATGTGCGGCCTGAGCCTAGGCTGGGAGGCAGAGGGCAGGTGGGATGTGTTGCAAAGGCTGTGACTCAGGATGAGGGGAAGAGGCTGGGCAGCCCCTAACAGTGAGCTCTGTGCAGGAGGCCTCCCTCAACGTGGCTGACCTGACCTCTCTCCGGGCCCCACTGGACATCCCCATCCCAGACCCGCCACCCAAGGATGATGAGGTGAGGCACTCAGGGTGTAGGGCTCGGACTGTAAACCTAGGGGAGATGGTGACCCTCCAACCTGCAAGACTTTTCTAAAGCTACTTTCCCCATTTTTACCTTAGATGGAAACAGATAAGCAGGAGAAGAAAGAAGGTGAGAGAGGAAGAGGTGGTTAGGGAAGGGGAAATGGCACATTGACTGCTGGATGAGAAGGGGCCTGAATCCCCTCTTTCTCACAGTCCCTAAGTGCGGCTTTCTCCCTGGGAATGAGAAGCTCCTGGCCCTGCTTGCCCTGATTAAGCCAGAAGTCTGGACTCTTAAAGAAAAATGCATTCTGGTAAGCCTGGGAACTGGGGGAAATAGAAAGACAAGACAAGCCAGGCAGGCCCTGGTCTCCTTCAGAGATGCAAGTCCTTCATTCAGGGACCTATTCCCGAAATAGGAAACTTCCTTCTATGCCTGGGTTTAGATACCTTTTGTTCTTCTCATTCTCCTGGACCTCTGATATCACAGTGGTATTCCCCAAATCAGAGACTGTGCTGTATCCACCTCCCTAACCTCAGAACCTACTGCTGTACCAGGTACATAGTGCAGGTGCTATGATATAGTGAGTTGGTTTAAGACCTTGAGCCCTAGAGGGAGACTGCCTGTGTTCAAATCCTGACTCTTATCACTTGCCTAGCTGGTTACCTTAAGTCAGTCCCTTAGGTATTCTGTGACTCAGTTTTTTCATCTGTTAAGTGGGTGTAATAAGAACATACACCTTGAAAGGTTGCTGTGAAGATTAAATGAGATATATAATACATAGTACAGTGCCTGGCACATAAGTAGTCAATTAAATATAGTTATTATTAGGAAGTGGCAGTAATCGGAGGAACCCAGTAAGTTTGTTGAATGATTCCTACATGATCACCTCTTAGGTGGTCACATGGATCCAGCACCTGATCCCCAAGATTGAGGATGGAAATGACTTTGGGGTGGCAATCCAGGTAAGAAAAGGGTGTATGAGGATGTTGAGAGTGGAGAGAGACTTGGGGAGGGACAGTTAGGAGCTAGACATGACCCAGGAAGAGGAGGTAGATGGTGAGTGAAGGAGGGAGGAGATGAAGTGTTTTCTTTGCCTCCCATCTCTTTTTGTCACCACAGGAGAAGGTGCTGGAGAGGGTGAATGCAGTCAAGACCAAAGTGGAAGCCTTCCAGACAACCATTTCCAAGTGAGGGCAGCTGGAGGGCCAGCACGGGGGCTGCAGGGACATTTCTTTGGGACTCTCAAAGCTGGGCAGTCCCATCAGGACGATGTGGGGCTTTGGGAAGGGTCTGAGGGAGTGTCTCTCTCTGAATGCCCAGTCTTATGGTTCTCCCTTTGCTTCCGGCAGGTACTTCTCAGAACGTGGGGACGCTGTGGCCAAGGCCTCTAAGGAGACCCATGTAGTGAGTGGATAGTCCATCAGCCTTCTGGCTGAGACTGGCTGGGGGTGGTGTGAGGAAGGGGGGTTAGAGGTCCTCCTTGTCTGGTTTCTGACCTTCCCAATATGGAGAATATTAAGCCAAAGGCATTGCGTATGAAAACAGATTTGGGCTTCAAAAACCTTGATCTCTTTCTCTACTTGATCCTGTGGGATTCCATTTCTTGGTGCTGAGAAGGGGCTCATCCTCAAGTTACCTATTCCTTAAATGAGGAAACGAAACTAATGTCCCAACCTCCCATGGGGCTGACTCAGCTTTGCCTCCCACATCCCAGATGGATTACCGGGCCCTTGTGCACGAGCGAGATGAGGCAGCCTATGGGGAGCTCAGGGCCATGGTGCTGGACCTGAGGTCCTTCTATGTGAGTCGGGGGTAAGCCCCTAAGGGAGGTGGATGAGGGGGGCAGGGGAAAGGCCAAGAACCTGACTGCTGCCCTTCTGGCCTTTTTCCAGGCTGAGCTTTATCATATCATTAGCAGCAACCTGGAGAAGATTGTCAACCCAAAGGGTGAAGAGAAACCATCTATGTACTGAGCCCAGGGCTAGAAGGGAAATAAATGACCTATACTTTGTGTGGATTACCTCTGGTGTGTGTCATTCATTTAAAAAGCATTTATTGGGTGCCACCTGTGTCCAGACTCTGGATGTGAATGTGGTAGTGTGAAAGGGAAGGGATGCCAGGAGGACGAAGATGAATCAGACACCCATCCTATTCTTAAGAAGTCATCCTAAAGAACAGGGTGGAAACTGCTACATGCCAAGGCAGCCATGCAGATAACCCGTATTTGGGAATTTCACAAGATTATTTCCATCCAGGGCTGTGTCTCATGAGTGCTTCCTGGAAGAGGTGGCATTTGGGCAGAGACTTTATAGGAATAATCAGGCTTTGGACAGACAAGGGGAAAGCTCTGTGGCTGAGAGCTCATCAGCTCAGAGCAAGCCTGGAAGGAGAATAAGGTTTCATGGGAGAATTATGGCTGAAGGCCAACGAGGGCGCCGGGGCGCTGGAGGGAGTTTCGCGGACATGAGCTGGGGCCCCGCAAGCTGTTGGCCTCCTCCTCAAGGGCTGGGAGGGGAAAAAAAGCTCCCAAGGCATTATGGTGAAGGACATCACACCACAGGACATTATGGGAAGGATAGGTCTGTAAATTTCTCCTTTAGTTCTTTTTTTCCCTTCCTTCAGCTAACTGCCGTCTTTATTTCTGCAGATATTACGTTAAGGAAACCAAGGGCCATATACCCTAGTCGCAAAGGTAACACAGCTCATCAGTAAGTGCCAGCGTCCGTCTAGAGTACAAATCCACTCATTCCATAGTAGTAGCGAGGCAGTCCGCTGCGTGCCCACGCTCCAAGAGCCACCGCTCCGGGACACCCGACGGGGGCCCCCCTCCACCCGCTGGCTCTGCGCGGTGGGGGCGGGCGGCACAGGGAATAGAAAAAGCCGTCCTGCAATCCGCAGCCGAAGTCGGGCCGCCTAGCCAATCGGAGTGCGGGCAGTTCTCTTTAGTTTACAGTTGTAGGTTCTTTCCAGTGCGCTGGGGCCAGGTCTGCATGCGGCCGGTGATTGGACAAAATGAGAACCTCTAAGCCTATCAAAGATCACCACGTGGGCGGGACTCCAGAAGCCGGTCTGGCTTGGAGCGGCGGGCTCTGGGTCCCCCAGACCGGCGCGGATCTGCGGCCGCCTGCTGGGGGCGGGCGGAGGCGGAGCTCGGCGCCGCAGCATGCAATCGGGACCGCCTGCGTGCCGGGCCAGGTGGAGGCCGGGCGCCGGGGCCGAGGTCGCCCGGAGCCGGCCGGCTGCCTTCGAGCCGAGTCAGCGTCATCGCCGAACCTAAGTGAGGGGGCGCGGGGAAGGCCACGGAGGGCGCCGGGGCGCTGGAGGGAGCTTCGCGGACGCGAGCTGGGGCCCCGCTCGCCATGGGGGAGGTGGAGATCTCGGCCCGGGCCTACGTGAAGATGTGCCTGCACGCCGCCCGGTACCCGCACGCCGCGGTCAACGGGCTGTTGCTGGCGCCGGTGCCGCGGTCGGAAGACTGCCTGTGCCTCACCGACTGTGTGCCCCTGTTCCACAGCCACCTGGCCCTGTCCGTCATGCTGGAGGTCGCCCTCAACCAGGTGCCGCCGCTGGACGCCCACCGACCACCGCGATCCCCTAACACCCCTAGCCCAAGCCCATCCCCGGTCACTTGGCAGCAGTGCGCACCCACAGGGCGGGCGGCACGGTTTCGTTACTCATGGCCCTTTCCCACGGCAGGTGGATGTGTGGGGTGCGCAGGCCGGGCTGGTAGTGGCTGGGTACTACCATGCCAATGCAGCTCTGGACGACCAGAGGTGAGTGGGTAGCCAGAGGGCTGAGGGTTATGCGGGGGGTGGGGGGGTGGGGGGTGGTGGTCAAGAGAACCTCTCTTGGTCATTCTTTCCATCTTTCCTTCATCAAACGCTTAGGAGCAGAGACTGTCCACCAGACACCAGGCTGAATACTGGAGTGAGGAAAGATCAAGAAATATAGAGGAGCTCCCTGGAGGTGGGGAGGATAATTGTGTATCGATAGGAACAGGCTGACACCTGCTTTAACTGAGGTGTCCTCCAAGTGCGAAAGAACAGAGGAAGCCCAACCAGCAACTTTAAAAAAGGAAATTTCTTTTTATGTGTATAGAAAAAGTTTTCTACCTACATATTAATGTTTCTGGATCAAATTATATATACTGTTTTGTAATTTGCTTTTCTCTCCTCATTTAATATCTGACATCTGGGCTGGCCTGATGGCGGAGTGGGTTAAGTTCAGCATGCTCTGCTTCAGAGGCCTGGGGTTCACGGCTGGATCCTGGGTGTGGACCTATACCACTCCTCCGCAGCCATGCTGAGGTGGCCACCCACATACAAAATAGAAGAGGATTGGCACAGATGTTAGCTCAGGGCGAATCTCCCTCAAGCAAAAAGAGAAAGATTGGCAACAGATGTCAGCTCAGGGCAAATCTTCCTCAGAAAAAAAAAAAAAAAAAACTGACATCTTTCCATCTCTACAGCAGAAGATCTACCTTACCTAGCTATATAGTATGACTATAGATATACCATGACTTATTTAATGCCTTAAACACTGAGGTTGTTTCCAATTTTTTGTTATTACAGACACTGTCCTATTTTTACAGTAAATTCTTTACAAGTGGAATTTCTGGGTCAGCATATGTATAGTATACAGTTTAAATTTGGATGGTTATGCCAAATTACCCTCCCAAAAGGCCACCTTTGATTTCCACTCTCACCAGCAGTGTCTGAGCACCTGTTTCTCACAGCAGTCAAGCATCAAGCTGTTGTGCATGAATCATCAAGCAGGCCTGATGCCCCCAGGCCAGCTCCAAGGAAAGGCCATCACTGTGCCCAGTCTCTGAGACCTGGGAGGCCCAGCTCAGATGGATGGGGTTGCCCACAGTCAGCTCCTCACTCCTCTGATCTTCCCTCTACACAGCCCTGGGCCCCTGGCCTTGAAAATCGCCGGGCGGATTGCAGAATTCTTCCCTGATGCTGTACTCATTATGGTGAGGCTTGGGTTTCAGGGTGGGGAGTTGGAGAGAAAGTAGGAAGGGGGATCCTTGAAACCTTCAGCTGCCCTTCCTTGTCCACATAGTTGGATAATCAGAAACTGGTGCCTCAGCCTCATGTGCCCCCAGTCATCGTCCTGGAGAACCACGGTCTCCGCTGGGTCCCCAAGGACAAGAACTTGTGAGTGCCCCACTCCCTCCAGCTCTTCTTGGAAGCCCATAGCGCCTGGGCCTCCTCTGTCCTTGGTCCTGCCCCAAGGGTCCTTCTCTAGACCCTATCCTCTGCCAAATATCTGGCCCCACTGCCTGCTGAGTTTGACCTCCATGGGGGTTATTATTTCAGAGTGATGTGGAGGGACTGGGAAGAGTCACGGCAGATGGTGGGAACACTCCTGGATGGCCGGGCCTACCAGCACCTTGTGGACTTTGACTGCCACCTTGACGACATCCGGCAGGACTGGACCAACCAGCAGCTCAACACCCAAATCACCCAGTGGGTTGGTCCCACCAATGGAAATACCTGAACCAGGGCCGGGGCGTGGGAGGGTCAGGATCCAATAAAGAGACTTGGGCTGATGGGCAACGGTATGATGATATTTATTGTGCCTGGGAGGCAAGGTGAGGGAGAAACCTCCACAGGCGGAAGGTGGGGGAAAGTCTGGAGTTCCCTGTAAAAGACAGGAAGGTCGCTGCTGGAGCCATCACGGAATGCGAGGAGGCTCTCAATAGATCATTCCCTTTGTTTCTCCCCTGGGCTTCTTGAGCTTCTCGAAGTTCTTCAGGATGATGTCATATAACACAGCCTGCAGGGCCAGGGAGGAGTGGGGGTCAGCCGCAGGCCCTCAGTGGCTCTGTGCCCCATCTCTAGCCTTGTGAGAGGCCGAGCTTTGTCACCCTTCACCCCCAGCCTGCAGGGTCAGGGAGTGGGTGGCCTGGGGAAGCTGCCTCTGCCCACCCCTGCCCTCGCCTCCTCACATAAGCATTGCGGATCTCCATGACCATCAGCCGGATGTCCCGGTACTCTGCCTCATCCAGCTCGTGCACCAGCTGCCGATAATCACCCTGCGGGAGACTCGGGTCAGGCCTGACTTCAAATGTGTCCTTCCCCCCATGCACCCTGACCTGGGCCTCACCTACCACATGGGGCTGCTTGGCTGCTTTCGCCACGGCATCGCCTCGCTCAGAGAAATACCTGTGGGAAGCAGAAGGGTGCAGAGTGGAGAAGGAGGAGGGAGCCCAGGCCTCTGTCCAAGCCAGAGGCAGAGTGTGCATGCGGGTGCAGGTGGGCAGTCACTCACTTGGAAATTTGCGTGTGGAAGCCTTCCAGCTTGGTGTGAAGGGCGGTCATCAGCTCAAACACCTTCTCCTGGGGAAAGAAGGCAAGGGGGAAAGTGGAAAGCAGCATGGACTAGAGATAAGGAGGCAGAGGAGGGGGTCACTGCTCTCACCTGGACAGCCACTCCAAAATTGTTCCCATCCTCTATCCGAGGGATCTGCAGCTGCAACCAAGTGGTGACCTGGGAGGAGGGAATGGCATCAAAGCCACATCAGCCGCCAACCCAATTCCCAGGTTCCTCTGCCTCCCTGCCCACAGTGGGTGGAGGTACGCCAGGACCATCCTGAGCCCAAGGGCCTGGAATTCTGGCTTCACTTGCTGTGCCCTCTCCTGCTAAGACCTACCAGGTGCCATGCCCTAACTGGCAGAGACTAAGGAGGACAAAGGGTTTGGCCTGAAGCCTGGAGGTGGAAGTGGGAGGGCTCACCAGGTTGAGCTGCTCAATGACATCCTTGATCTCAGGCTTTAGGCGCTGCAGGAGAACCACAATCTTCTCATTGCAGTTCACTGGGCCACAGGGAGGACCTAGGGAGTGGGCAATGGGTCAGTCACATGGCTGGGACTGTTTGAGGGGCAGGGAAGAGGAATCCTTAGGGAGGAGCTCCTGGGTGGTGAGACTCAAGTCCCTTCCCACCATAGTGATACCTTTGTCTTCATCGTCCCCTTTCTTCTTTTCATTCTTGTCTTCCTTCTGCAGGGGGAGAGGGGCTCTTGGGAGTCAGGCTTAAGGCTGATTTCCCCACTGTTGGGGCCCTCCTCCCAGCTCTTCCCGGCTTGCCTCCTGCTGTTTCTTCCGCTCCTCCTTCTCTTTCTCCTTGACTGGATCAGGCACTGGGATATCCAAGGGGGCCTTCAGATTGCTCAGGTTGGCTTCATTGAGAGCTGGCTCCTGGTGCAGGGTGGGAGGAGGGCTGGAGGCAAGAGCATCCCACTCACCTCCTCACTTCATGGCCTCCCAGACTATCCCCTTGGCCCCTACTCTCTAGCTCCCCGCCCGGCCCCAGTACCTTTAAAAATGCATCCAACTCAGAAATCTTCTTGGGGAAATAGCTCCCGAGCAGGTTCTCTGTCTGTGTGTGAGGTGGGGGTGGGGGAGGATAGGGGTCAGAATCGAATGCCCTTCCTAGGAAGGAAGCAAGCCAGGAAAGGCTAGCAGTGGGAGGTGGTAGAGGTGGGGTCTGATGGGGCACGTCTTACCTTGGAACACAGGTCTTCACGGAACACATCCACCTGTGGGACACACGCAGCCCTTCAGACACCTGGCTTTATGGCCAGTTCATTTGAGGGCTGTTCCATTAGGGTTGTGTAGGGCCTGACCTGGGGACGGGTGGAGTGGATCCCCGTGGGGCTGGATTTCGGGGATGAGGACATTCCTGGGGAAGGGCAAGTGGTTCAAGTGAGAAGAGATCCCTCGGGTCTCCTGGGCTGTGTGAGGAGGGGCGTAGGAGAGTCTCTACGACTGGGGCAGGGACGGAGTGCCCTGTGGAGTGGGCCCCGGGGCCCTCCCGTGGGAAGGGCCACGAGGTGGCAGGGCAGGTCCCGCACCCCGTCTGTGTGTGGGCCGGGCCCCGGGCCAGCGGACTTCCCCTGCACGCCAGCTCTCCGCTTCACCTCGCCCCGCTTCACCTCGGCCGCCTCCCCTCCCCCGGCAGGCGGACCTCGCCGGCCTCCCCGGGGCTCAGGTGCTCCGGGCACCGAGGCTCACGTGGCCTCGGATGAGCGACCCCGACTCGAGTAGGGGGCTGGGGGGGCGGGTCGCGGATGCCTCCAGCCTTTCGGGGCCACGCCTCCCTAATGGGCCCGTCCTCGACCCCGCAGCGCTCACCTTGGCTTGGGCTTCGGGCTGGACCCTGAGCGTGGCCATGGCCGGGGCGAGGGGTCTGGCGCCGCGCGGAGCGGAGCGGGCACGGGGAAGGGAAAGCGAAAGCAGCAACAGCCCTCCGCACCGCCTTCCTGGGTAGGGGGAGTGGAGGTGCTGCAGGAGGCGGGGACAGGCGGAGAGAGAAGAGGCGCAAAGGGGCCGCCCAGCCGGGGCTCCCCCTAGAGCCCGAGAGGCGCGTTTCCGCCGACCTGCCCGCCTCCCCCTGCCCACTCCCCGCCCCGCTCTCGAAGCCCCACCTCCCCTTCACACCTCCCCCTTCCAGCCTCTCTACTGCCTCCGCCCATCCGGCCTCCCCCTCCCTCGCCTTCCTTCCATCTTGGCCTCCCCACACTCCGCTTCCCGCCTCCCCGCCTCCCGTCGCCCTGCCTCCTGTCTCCCCACGGGCTCTCTTCTTCCCCTGCTCAGCCTGGGACGGCGATAAGCCTTATCTGGCGCTCTTCCATCTTTCCTCAGAGATGGAGCAAGACCTGGCTGCCCTTCCCTAGCCCTGCCAGCGTGGACCTTTGGCTCCAGGGCATCGTCTGGCCCATGCAGTGACATTCAGACGCTGGCACCACCCCTCCCAGGCCCCAGTCAGCTCTCTCCTGACCCTTGTTGTGGACTCCACTCCTCTATAACCCACTCCACACAGCGCGTGATCATGCCTTTCTCTTGCTTAAAACTTTTTCAGCCTCTTGTTGACCTTAGAATGAAATCTAAAGGGCTTTCCCTGCCGTGTAAGGCCTGTAAGGCCTGCCTGACAGCTGGTCCCCTTCAACTTCACTTTCCACTGCTTTCTCCTTTATTACACTTGCAAATACCAGGGCTTTCCGTTTGTTTCTTAAACCTGTCATTGCTAGTTCATTCCAGCCTCAGGGCCTTTGCCCTTGCTGATCTCTTTGCCTGACACACCCTTCCCCTGCCTCCTGTTGTCATTCCGTTCTCAGGGCAAATATCACCTCTTCAGAGAGACCTCTCTCCATCATCCTTTATAAAGGACCTCCCCCCAAGTCTCTGTATTACAAAGCAGCCTGTGTAGTACCTTCAGAGCACTTCTCTCTCTGGTATTAGCCAGTTTATTTTTTGAGAAGAGTGTGGTTTAGACCAGAGGTTGGAAACTTTTTCTGTAAAAGGCCGGATAGGAAATATTTTAGGCTTTGTGGGCCATATGGTGTCTGTAGCAGCTATTCAACTCTGCCATTGCAGCAGGCAAACAGCTATACCTAAATGAACTAGCGTGGCTAGGTTCCAATAAAACTTTATTTATGGACACTGGAATTTGAATTTCATGTAGTTTTCATGTGTCATGAAATATCGTTCTTAGATTTTTTCAATCATTAAAAATATAAATTTTTTTTATACAGGTCATACAAAAAGTGGCCACAGGAGGGCTGTAGTTTGCTGGTCGCTGGTTTAGAGCACAGACAATGGACCCATATCGCCTGGGTTTATAATCCTGGCTCTGATATTCACTAGCTGTGAAAACGTTACTTAAGCTCTGTGGCTCAGTTTTCACGACTGTACAATGGAAACACTACCAAACCTACCTCACAGTGTTGTTGTTGTGAGGGCTAAATGTATTAATTTATATGAAGAGCTTAGACACTTAGAACAGTGCTTGGCACATAGTGAGTACAATAATGGTGTTTGCTATTATTTGTGAGTTTATTATCTGCCTCCCACATTCAGCCATAAGCCTCCAAATAGGAGAAACCTTGTCTTTCTTATTCACAAGGCATGGAACTATGCTTGACTCAATAAACATCTGTTAAATAAATGACACACTTGGACCCTCTATGGGGAAGACAGGGTAGGAAGGGTCCCTGAGTAGGGTGCCCAGATAGACAGGCCCCTGAGGAAGGCGGACTCAGTGGAGGAGGCAGGAAGAATGAATCAAGCAGGCTAGAGATGGAGCACCTGCTCAGCTGGAATGCTGCCCCGACCTAAGGGCACTGTTACCTGCCCTGGCAGTGCTGTTCTGAGCATCAGAGCATCAGAGCCCCAGATAGCTTGAAGTGTGCGAGGACTAGGAGGCTGAAAGGGCAGCAGAGGGGATGGAGAGCCAGCATAAGGAAGGACATTCAAGGTCGATGACAGCAAGGAATAGCTGAGGAGCCCCAGCGACCACCAGACTCTTCTTACCCTTCCCACCCTTTCCAGGTCCCCCCAGCCAAATGATGAGAGGAGCCAGAGCCAGGCCTGATGTGCTTTTATTTCTTTCAGTTGTGCTTGCGGCTGGGGTGGGGGCGAGGGAAGAGCCCGTGGCCCGGGCTCCCTGGAGACCAGGGCTGATGATACCAGCTGCCGTAGGTGAGGTACCAGGCAAAGGTGCCCACGGCGGCACCCACCACCTTGTGAGTGTACTGGTGGAAGTAGATGACAGTACAGAGCAGCAAGAAGTTCCAGAGGCCCAGCAGCAGCACGTTGAGCAGGAAGACCAGGCGCAGGGGTGCGCCGGCTGGCAGCCCGTGGGCCAGGTACTTGGCGAACACAGCTGCTTCCTCGGCCATGAGCAGGCAGCAGAAGGTGAGCAGGAAGGTGTGGGAGGAGACCGTGTAGCCCCGCCACTGGTGGCCGGCCGCCAGGCAGCTGCGCCGGTCAGGCAGCTCATGGAGCAGCAGGCCCTGGGGCAGAGGCTCGAAGCAGGAGCCTGTCAGGTCCTCAATGAGCAGGAAGGCCCTGCCGGCCCCCCGCCACACAGCTGCCCCCACCACCAGTCGGCTCAGGTGCCGGGCAGTCACTGTCACACGCCTTGTAGCCAGGAACACCACCAGCAACACGAAGCCCCCCAGGAAGGTGCATGTCCAGCCCCAGGCTGAATTCACAAACTTTCTGTGGGCAGAGAAGAGGGGAAGCTGCTGAGACCCCTCAGCCCCTTCTCCCCACCCTGATCTGCGTTCCCATCACAGGTCTGTCCCGAGTCCTACATATCATCACTGGTTCTCTGTTTCCGGTGCCATCTTACCCTGGCCCCCCATCCACTTAAACTTTGCAATCTCCTTAGGGGCCCATTCAGCCTTCTAGTGTCCATATTTCCTCTTCAGCCCTACTCCTGCCTTCCCCTGTACCCCCACGATTGTTCCCCTCCCCCTCCTCCGACCTTTTCCTCAACCTCCTAGCCTATTTTTAGTGTCTGGACTGGCAGGAGGACAGAAGCCTGCGGGAGGGAGCTGGGATCCCAGAGCGCAGGGAGCCGGTGCCCACGGCCTTGAATGGACTCACATGTTGAAGAAGTTGCCGTGGCTGGCGAAGATAGTCCGAGGGTTGACATGGAACTGCAGAAGGGGCCCAAAGATGACCACTGCTGCCAACCAGGCGTGGTAGAGGCGCCGCAAGCAGGGGCTGCCCAGGAGGCGAGCAGCTTGTTCACTTCCAAAGTACAGCAAAGCAGAGGCCACCCAGAGCAGCACCTGGACCAGGCAGCCCAGCACTGCCCGGATTCGGGCCCTGGTCCCCGGCCCTGCCCCCACCACCGGCCCCCGCTCCATGTTCCCTCCCCTCCCCACTAACCGCTTGCTCTGCTGGGCAGCTGAGGAGGGGCTGATGGGGCCCCCCCTGGACAAGGACAGGCAGTGACAGGTGTGGCAGACACAGGGCAGAGCCCTGTTGGCAGCTGGCAGGCGGGGGAGAGGGGCGGGGGGCAGTAAGGGGCCAGGGTGGAGGGCTGCCACGTCAGCAGGGTCCTAGCCTCGGGTGTGTGTCCTGACAGCAGCCTGTGTCCTTTCCTGTTAGTCCTGTGTCCCCTTGACCCTCTAGGTCTGTGTCCCCAGCTTCATGTTTCAGGGCCAAGCCTGCTGTTCAAGGCTGTCTTTGTCCACAGCCTGCTTGGATCTCCCTCTCTGGTCAAAGTCACCCCCACTGCACCCCAACTTTACCGTGTGTTTGCTTCACAAGGAAATCAGGGGTCATGAAGATAAAACTAACTAACTGAACCGTGGAAGTCATTAAAAAAAATCTGTGTCTGCCTCATCATTAGTGTGGTCTAGCCCATCTCCTGAGTTCTGAGCCCAAGAGCCCACCACTGCAGGATGCAGCAAGATGGCTGTGCATGGCACTGTGTCCAACTCAGGCCTGGGAGGCCTATCAGCAGCGGTATCCGTTTTAGTGCACTGTGACCTCAGGGACTTGGCCCAGCCCCAGCTCCTGTCTGGTCTGAGGGGCTAGTTTGGCCCCAGGGCTGCTGTGTAAACCAAGGTGGTTGTGCAATGCACAAGACATCTGATCTAAAGGGTGACCATTCTTTGGTATGTTTATCATGATCGCCGACAGATGAAATTCAAGTGTCCTGAGAGAGGTGTACTGTATGAGATGGTGGTGGCCGAGGCTGGACTCTCAGAGCCCCAAAGATCAGGTTTACTCCCAGGTGATAGGGGGCGGAGGAAAATCCCCAGCCTGGGGTCCACGGAAACCTTAGGTTGTGTCCTCCAACCAATTACCCTGGGTCTCAGCCACACAAAAGACTTGGCCTTCCAGCCTGATCGCTGGGGCTGGAGCCACAGGGAGGAGAGCAACCCTGCTAGTCAGTTACTGTTTTGAGATCCCTTTTTGTCTTCCTTCCCCATATCCTCAAAACTGGTGGGGGGATTTCAGGGCACAATGGAGGCCCAGGAAGTAGTGAAAGGAATGAACAAGCAAGGACACCTGGGTTCTGGGCCCAACTGTGTGACTTTCGGAAAATCAACTTACCCTCCCTGGTCCTCAGTGCCCTCACGTGCTAACTGATCAAGACGGATTAATCCATCAGGTTCCTTCCAGATCCTAAAGCCCAACCCTCGGCATAGATCCTGGTCATGGACCCCTACGCATGAAGACCTACAGAACCCCTCACACATTTTTAAGTTGACAAAAAATTTTTCATTGTAATTTTAAATAGTTGCAAAGGTCATGATTTCCAGTGTATTGTATATACTGACATTTCAAAAATAAATCTATTTATATACTCTTAAATATATCCAATGGAATCTAAACACTACAGTGACTATATACCTATTACCCATTTAAAAGACACGTGACAAGGGCCAGCCCGGTGGCCTAGTGGTCAAGTGCACGCGCTCCACTTCAGCGGCGGCCCAGGGTTGGCAGGTTTGGATCCCGGGCGCGCACTGACACACCGCTTGTCAAGCCACGCTGTGGTGGCATCCCATATAAAGTAGAGGAAGATGGGCATGGATGTTAGCTCAATGCCAATCTTCCTCAGCAAAAAGAGGAGGGCTGGCATTGATGTTAGCTCAGGGCTAATCTTCCTCACACACACACAAAAAAATTAAAAAACATGTGACAAGATCTTAATGGTCAGAAATTATATTTCCATTCTACTTCCCCTACAGAATTTACCCTATATTTTTATGCCTGAAAGTCTTTTATCGATCACACTTCTCTGCAAAAAAGAAAAGTATATAATTTGAATTTTTAAACATTTCCTGTGATCATAAGGCCCTAAAAGTTAAAAAAAATTTTTATAGGTTGAATTTTCATAATATTGCAAGTAGTACAAAATGTATTAGTACAACAAACATTTCACACATTTTGATAATAATAAACTAAGATTGTATTGGAAACACATCTCTTAATGAGACGAATGGATGATCCTTGGGGCCTGGATTAAATGAGGCTTTGAGGATACTAATAACTTTAATTTGCCTCTAGCTCTGGTGCCCTGGAGGTAATATAGTTTTGGGTGAGACGGGTGGCATCTCTGGGGTGAAGCGGCAGAGGGGAATGGAAAGGGCTGGGGGGAAAGGAGACCTGGCATGACAGTTTCACACCAGGCAGACCAACTGGAGGACAGAGAACACATGGAGGCAGAGCATCTGGACAATCTCTTCTTTTACTCTGTTTTGCTGTGAAGTAGGCACCCCCTTTACCCCCTGCTATGTCTTTGGGAACCCCTAGAGGTGTGTATCCTGGTTTGAAAACTGCCTTAGAGAGAATGAGATGTCCTGGGAAAAGATGGCTCCGAGGCGGATGTGCAGTCCGGCTCCCCTACTGACTACACCATTGGTCTGCTCTGGGTGCGCTGCCTGACCTCTGCACACCTGCATTCCCTCACCTGGACAAAGGGTAGCGGTGAGGGTGGAGGAGGTCCTGAGCATGAAGTGCCCAGACGGGGCCTGGCGTCAGTGCCCACAGGTTCTCTCTGGCTCTGGGCTACTTCTTCTGGTAGACTGGACCAGCACCACAGCCAGCCCCTGGGCAGAGCTGATGCTGGTGTCCCAGGCTCTAATATAAAATATGCTGATTTCCTGCCACCTTGATGTCTACTTGCTGGGACGTTTCTGAGGTTGACAAGGGACTACCTATTGCAAATTGCAGTTAACAAATGATTTTGGTGTTTCCCCTTATCTTGGGGCATGACAAGGATGTTTTCTCCCACAGAGGAGCATATCTGAAGGCTTTGTTCAAACTATTTTCTTGAGGTGAGAGGATAAAAGACCTAAGAAAGGAAACAAGAGAACGAGGCAGAGACAGACACTGAGCTGGTTCCCACAGAGAGTTTATTGAGGGAGCCAAAACCAGTGAGAGGACAAAGGAGTCCTATTTCAACACCCCTCCTTGAAGCTGCTGGCCTCCGGCACGACGGACACACTGGGAGGGGACGGCCTGCCCTGTGTGGGGCCACACAGAGCCTCTCACACCACAGCCTGTCCTACCCCAAAGACCCAGACATAGAGAGAGAAGACACAATTCCCGTCCCAGGAGGGTGCCAAGGACATGTCTTACCCATCCCACCCTCCCCTAAAGGGCTAGAGGTCCAGCCATCAGGACCTCTGGAAGAAAGGCCAGGACGCCTGGCCCTCTGATTGGCCCATCTAATCCTCAACGTGAAGGCCTAGGCAATGGGCCCCAGCTGACAGCTCAGTTCAGATCTGGCCCGAGGCACCTACTCTAGGAGCTAACACTTAACATCCACACATGATTAAAAACACGCAGGACAGTTCTCCTGCTGACAAAGGTGACACCCCAGATACTGGCAGTCCTGCCAGAAACTGGCCAGAGATAGAGACCCAAGCCGAATGGGTGTGAGGGCCTGAGGAGACCACTCCGCCCCACAGGGAGGATGTTCCAGGGCTCAGCTAGGGCCTCGAAGCCTGGGCTTCTGTTTCTCCCCATCCAGTGCCAGTGATTTCCCAAAGATCCCCCAGAAGGGAGAAAGGGAGGAGGAGGCGGAGAGCTTATCAAGAGGCTCACTCATGTATGGGGCTGGAGGTCAGGTCTACTGGGGCGAGGAAAAGGCTGTAGAGGGGTGGGGCACTGGGGCAGGGGTGCTGGGGTGTTCCTCGGACTCTGGCATGTCATCCTGGAAGTACTCAGCCTGACGGTACTGCCACAGACGCAGGCTCCCATCCCACTGCAGGGCAGAAGGTGACAAGTCGTCAGGGGCGCTGCCCCTCCCGGGTGCAAGCCCCAGACATGCGCTGACCCCCCTAAGCCTCGCAGCCTCACCGAACTGCTGACAATCTTCTCCTCAAAGGGGTGCCAGCTGACGTCACGCACACAGGCCTTGTGGTTGGTCAGCTTCTTCACAATGTGGCCGCTGAGCAGGTTGTACACTGTCCAGGAAAGGCCAGAGTGGAGAGGGGCCACCAGAGGACCTTCTCACCACTCCTTGTCTCTCCCTGAACTGCACTGATTACACACCTCTTAGGCAACGTCCCACTCTCCCAGGGAGCAAAGCCCACACCAGAGGATGATGTCATCCCTCACTTTCTTCTCCCTTTTCCCTACCTCAGGTGGAGGGTATGGTCTAGCAGAGCTTGGGTATCTCTGGCCCTTAGCTAAATTTCACAGGGTCCACAGTTAAGAAAATGCAAGGTGGCTTTAAAAATTACTTTTAGTGGCAATTTTCTAAAAAGCCCACAAGATATGGCAGGCACCACAAAAGTGAACAACGGGCTGTCTTCACGGATGTGTGAACCTGCTGTTCCTTATCTGGACGGGGGTGCATCTTTTTCTCTTTCTGGATGCGTCTCCATCCCAGTGCCTCCCTTGGTACAGCACTGACTTAGGCTCCTTATATCTGTAGCTGTGTTTGTGTTTCTTTTCTTGCATTCCTCCTGCTTCAGTGGCTGTATGTCCTTTACTACTAGCTGCTGTCTTTTTGTGTCATTCTTTTTATCTCTGCAATCTCTTTCCTTGACTGGCTAAAAAACAGAATGAAGCATATTTTTGGTAATCTATCATATTTACTGACTAAAATTCTATGTTCCTTTTCTTAATTTAAAATGCTGACGGACAGAATGTTTTCTACTTCTCTGTTTAAGCCTCCTCCACTCCAAGCTAAATTAAATGATATTTGTAGTCGCCACTGGGTTTTTCAAGGTGGTCACTGGTGGGGTTACAGCTGGAATGCCAGAGAAACATTCCTGCCCTTCCTGAGGCCCCCTGTTCTGACACAATCCTTACCAACCACTTTGCCAGTAGAGCAGCCACTGTAGATGAACTGCTGGCCAGTGCTGTGGGTGGGGGAGAATCGGCAGCGGATGAGGGTGTGCAGCACCCCGTGGCCCCGGTATGTCATCAAGGAGCTGTCCCCTGGGAGCTTCAGCTTCCGCCAGGCTGGACAGGGATGCAGGGAGAGCCCCAGGTCAGGGAGTCTGGATTCTCCTGCATCACCAGTCCTCAGCAAAGATCGATGCTCACATACAATTGCCTTTCCAATCCCCAACTGTTGGCTCTTTCTCCACCTAACAGTCAGCTGATATTCACCACTATGGCTCTGCTGGTTGTTAAGATACTGAAATACTTTTGTATTGGTTGGTTCTGAGTGATCCCTAGTCCCCAACCATGGGAACCCCTGGTTCTCCCATGGTCTAGCAAACAAAAGAGCTAATGTCTGGCAATGGTGATTGGGGAGTAGGTTC